AATTAAGTTTAAAAAATTAGAATATATTAAATTATTTAGTAATAAATATTATTAAAAATAATTTTAAAAAAAATATATATAAAAAATATTTCTTTTCAAAAAATTTTATTTTTAAAATAATTTATTTATAAATTTCTTAGTAAGTCTTAGATTTTATTATAGTTTATTAAAGCACTTATAATTCAGCTTGCAAGTCTAAATTTTATTTAATATATTCAGCAAAAAATTAATTTATTGATATTTTTATATTGAAAAAGCTTATAATTTATGTAATTGTCTTGAAAATTTACTTATAAGCTTTATATTTTATTAAGAAATTTGCTAAAAAGTATTTTTTATTAAATATATATAAATAATAAAATTAAAAATTTCTTTTAAAAATACAAATATTTTCTATATATTTTAAAATATATTTTTTAGAATATTTTAAATATATATAGTAATAACCAAAAGTAATAACTCAGAAACTAAATTTATTAATAAAATATAATAAAATTTGAAATTTTCTTTCTATATTAAAATTATAATTTTATTAAGAAATAATTTTATTTTTATATTAAAATAAAGTTTATTAGTGTAATTTAATATATATAAATATATTATATTAATATTAATATTTTATATATATAGTAAATTAATTAGTTAATATGATTATAGATTTCTTTGATCCTATATTCTTTTCAGATTTTTTAGATTTTTTCTAAAAGAGTTGCTTTAATTATAAAGACAGTACAAAAATTTTTATTAATTAAATTTTATTTTTAATTAGTAAAAATTTTTGTATTAACTTTATAATTAGAGTAATACTTTCAGAAAAAATCTAAAAAATCATATGATAAACTACAACTAATAAACTTTATTTTAATATAAAAATAAAAATTATTTCTTAATAAAATTATAAATTTAAATATAGAAAGAAAATTTCAATATTCATTATATTTTATTAATAAATTTAGCCTCTGAGTCATTACTTTTGGTCATCACTGTATTAATTATTGTTTTAAAATAACTTTTATAAGTTTTTATTTTTTAAAGTTCTAATTCAATACTTTTGATATAATAATTTATGAAATATTATTAAAATTTATCATATTATTCTGAAAATTATAAAGAATCTTTTATAACTTTTGAGTTATTTGTTAAATATCAAGAAAAAATTTGAATCATCCTATTTTCAATATTATCTGTATGAATAAATTTTTGTATCATTGTTTTAATTAATATTTGTATCTATAATTGAAAGTTTAGATAAGTTTTCAAAGCAGTTTTTTACTTATTATAATAATCTAATATATAATGCAATAATTGAATTATTAACTACAATCTTTTAAGCAATTTTTAAATATGATTTGGTGCAAAAAGATTGATATACAAATATAAAATTAATAATCACTTCTAATAAAAATCATTCAAATTTTAACTAATCTTTATAATTTTTTATATTAAATAAAAAAATGATCTAAATTAACTATTTATACTATTTTAATTATTCTATTATACATTAATTTAATAATAAATGAAGTATTACTTTGCTAAAAAAAAAACTAAAATAAAATTATTTTTTAAAATAAAAGACACTTTAAATATTATCACTATCAATTTGCAATATTAAAACTTTAAATTATGCAAGTAAATTGTCTTAGATTTGATAAATATATATTCTAAATTTCATAAAAATTGAATTGGTAGATATAAAGATATTAAGATTCAAAGTTTAATAATTAAATTATTTAATATATAATTTTATATTAAATTTTATATAATAAAATTTAAGAAACAATAATTCAAAAAAGTTTATTATTAGTAAAATTTTTTTTATAAAAGATATATAATAAAAATTTAAATGACTCCCAATACCTAATAACTTAATTAAATAAGACAGAATTAAAATTTTATTTTGAAAAAACAATCTCTGACGTATCAATCTTTTTGCACCGGACCATATTATGTAAAATGATGTTTGTGTATATCAATTGTGAACATTAAAAATTTAAAATTATGACATGGATATCCCTAATGCATAAATTAAAAATTGAGATGTACCGGTACATGTTTCAATTTCGGAGTAACAAGTTTTTATTAAAGATAGCTGAGTACATGTACAGATGACAAAAAATTAGGATGATCGTAAAATGTTTTAAATATGTCGCGGTAGATAACAACATTGAAACTGAACTAGCATGCTTTTGTCTGCTTACAAAAGATATTCATTTTTTTCAATTCACTACTTAAATACAATAAAACTCGAAAATTTAAAGTGTATATATAAATGGGCTGCAATAAAGATCTTACCAAAGGAGAATGCAACACTGCCGAAATATTCGAAAAACAAGGCATGTCTGTTGCAAAAATTGCACGCATCCTTGAACGATCAGCTACAAGTGTCAAAAATTGTATTAAATGAATGAGAATTACCTAAAATTGTGGTTGCCTGAAAAGAAAGAATAGTGGCAGAAAATTAATCATTAATGATCGTTTTGAACGTTTAATTCTTCGAAAAATTAGAGTAAGCTCAACAATGAGAAGAATACCTAAACGTCTGCTCGCTAATAAAATCTCATCTTTTGGTATATCTCCACGTACTCTGACAAGAAATTATAATAAATGTAATATTACATCTCATATTACACGTAAAAAATTGTGGATTAATGAAAAAAATCGAATCAAACGATTAAACTAGGCTAAACTTCACAAAAATTGACTAAAGAAGATTGGCAATGCGTTCTTTGGACTGACGAATCCTCTATCAGCACCGATTCATATGGGAAAGTTTGTGTTTGGTGCCGTAAAGATGAGCTTCATGATCCAAATTGCACACAAGCAACCGTTAAAAGTGGACGAAAATCTATTACGGTTTTGGGATGTGTGAGTGGGCTCAATTTAAGTCACTTAGTTTGCACCCCATCACGAATGAAGTGTAAAAGTATGGAAACATTATTTAGATGCAATTTATCCGATGATTATGATTGCAGGAGAGGCAATATTTCAAGAGGATAATGCACCAATTTACAAGAGTAAACCTGTAAAGAAGCTTAAAGAGAATCTTGAAATTGTGACAATAGATTGGCCACCACAATCGCCAAACTTGAGTCCAATTGAAAATGTGTGGAGGGAAGTTAAATGTTGGATTCATAAAAATCGAAAACCACAGACAGAAACCGATTTGGAGGAAGCCATGGAATACTATTACGTTTGAGAAAATTCTTCATTTTATAGACTCAATGCCAGAACGTATTAATGAAGTAATTAAAAAAAAAGGGGGGCATGCAATCCACAATTGATGCGTATTTATTAATAATAAAAATAGAATCTACATGTATTTCTTGTTAATTTTTATCGCTGCAAAGATCGTCCTAATTTTTTGTCACCCCACTGTAATTGCAAAACCGAAGATTATCATAGAATTTATCGAAAATTTAATTTCGAATGTTCTAATCTTGTGCATAATATAAATTTTATTCCATAAGGTTAATAACTTAACCTTTTTCTTATACGTACTTACACACAACATGATAAAAATTTTTCAATTTCATTTTTCGCAGAATTTTTCATGTATTGTTTCTATATTTATTGGTTCAAAAGAATTAAGTTTTCCACATATTATTTATGCATAATTGGCAGAAAAAATAAAATGCAACCTAACGTTAATGGTAATCTGGATTTTAAATATGCACGAGATATTTTTATCCCGGGCATTTTCTAAAATGTTGTTTATCAATGCCTTTTTACACATTTAATATTTGTATGTCTTTTTATTAAAAATTAACTATCTTTTTCTTGGCATTGAGACCAGATCCGAAGCTTGTGTAAATAGAATCCAAATTTCGGTCTAGATCTCCGCCTTTATACATGTAGTAACATGCATAGGTTGAATAAAAACGACAACGTATGCAAAAAAAATAATGCAAATGTCGAATGATAGATAAAGTTAATCGATATCGATATCCCAAGTTTTTCGTTAGTATAGTAAATGCATGTATATGCAGCATTGTGGAATACTGGACAGCTGATTGCACAAAGTAAAAATAAGATGAACGAGAATCTCTGCACACATGTCATACATTCAATTTTAGTGCCTAAAGTGGTGGGTCATGTGATTTTTAAGGGGTAAACCAATCAAATAGCAAATATGAAATATTCAATTACGGTGAGGGTAACGCTACGCTTAGGCTCGGAGTTAAGGAGGTTTATTTCGCATAAGACGTTTAAAGTAGAATTTCGCAAGGAACAATTATTGTTAGAACACAGAAAGTGGTTTCATAAACTAAATGTCGAGATATGAGCTATTTTTCAAAATAAACGTTTGTTTGAATTTCTGAATTTTTCTGTTACACATTGATCTTACGATTTGATTGGTTTACCCGTGACTAGGGTACTAATCTTCGTTCTTGAAAAGCTACAATATTCTTAGAAGATAACCACACGCACATCTAAATTTGATCAATAATAGATAAAACCTAAAGCAATAACGTAATTAGTACCATTATAAAGATGCATAATTGTTTTCTGAGAATAATGCAAACATAAGTAGTCAAAGGTGAATCAAAGAATCATTATAAAGAACCTATGAGAAGGATGAATTTATACTGTTAATATAAATTAATATAAATAGCATCTATCCAAAATACACGGAAAAAAAACTAGTAATGAAAGCTGAATAGAAATATTTTAAATTTAACTGATTCAACGGTAATACATGTACAATTTGTAACCACGTGAAGAAGCACGAATGTGTGTTGCAATTTTGTTTTAAAACCTGCATTGAAACAACTCTTATAATTTTATTATAATGAGGAGTCTAGACCGTCATCTCTTAAAATCCCTTAAAATTGCCAATCAGATCACAATTAAGATTTTTCATATAAAGACGTCGTTCAAGAAACATCTTAGTTTCGGTTTATTATTAGCAAATACAAATTTGATACCTGATCCATTAAAATACACATTTATATGAGCTGCAGAATTTTTATTTCAACTTTTTTTACTCGCGAAAAATCGGTATGGGAAACGCAATTCGCAAGCATAAAAAATCTCTATTTCAGCAATCATCACCTTACTATTATATAAATAACCGTAAGTTCTTTAAGAATGAGGAAGTAATTTGGCCTAATCCCATTGATGATGTGGAAATTGACAGGCTGATAATGGAGCATTTCGTTATTCGCCATTCATGGAAGAGCAAAAACTTTATCAGCCCAATTGAAAGAGAATTAAAATTAGGAGTAAATGTAGTAGATATAGGGTAAATATATCAAGTAAAGATCCAAATTTTGCTGAAGATTGTAGTCTAATAATAATAAATTTAGGTGTGGGTCAGGAACATGGGTACTTGAAATGGCTTCTGAATATCCATATTCAACGATAACCGGCGTCGATTTCTCGACGCTATTTCCCACGGAAATAAAGCCCGTAAATTCCAGATTTCTTGAACATAATATCAAAACTGGATTTCCATTCGAAAGCGAAAGTATCGATTTCGCGCATCAAAGGTTGGTTGGTTGTGGTATTCTGAAGCAAGACTGGGAACAACTCATAATAACTGAGTACGCCCGAATACTAAAGATTGGCGGGTGGTTAGAGATATTTGAAGGTAATACACTCATAAATCCTGGTCCCAATACAAAACGTCTATTTGATGCATGTAAGTGTAAATTACAAATAGTCATCATCAATATTAATTTTGTGACTTCATGAATAACGTACTGTATCTTAATTTATTTAGTACTCGCATATTATGAATCGATTGGCATTGATGTTAAGATTACACAAAAATTAGCACGGTATTTGGCAAACAATGATAATTTTACAAATATACAACATCAACAACAGACAATTCCAATAGGAACTTGGGCAGGTCGAGTAGGCGAATTAGTAAGTATTTGGACTTGAACTTTTGTTCTCCCAACGAATATATTTATTTAAATTTACTCCTTTTTTTTTTTTAGACTGCCAACAATTTTTTATCTTTATTCGATGCATTATCATCATGGCTTTTAATTCCGCTAAACATCACTCTCGAGGAATTTAAAACTTTAACGCAAATATTCGAAAAAGAAGTGAACGATTATCATACACATTGGCAAACCGAACGATTTATAGCGCAGAGATGCATAAAATAATAATAAAAAATATTTAAGCTATCACTATCATCATTTTTTTTAATTCTTGTAAAATAAATATGTAAAAATTACGCAGCGCAGATATCGATATCGATATATTGTATCTTGCCGATTCTCGTCATATTAAGAAAAGATCTAAGATTAAGCAGAAAGATTAACGTTAAGCAGAGACAAAAAGAGCTCGATAAGGATCATGCAAAGATAAAGCAATTCTCCGTAGTATTTCTCTAAGTACATGTAATTTATTCATACTGGATCACAAACCAATTATCATTATTGTTCAAATATATGCAGTTAAACCGTCGTCGTTATCTATATATGAAACACAATCATTAATAAAAAAATTTTATGAACCAATCCTCTAATTAAGGTAAACAAAATTCATGTAATAAAAAACTCCAGTTTATCTTTTTTTGAATCTTATTGATTAGTGTTTATTGTTATGGATTTCTCTATCAGCGAGTGTTACAATTACTATTTGCGACTTTGAAGTGTATTATAGTTATATACTATAACTCATGTATAAGTTTCCCCCTTATCTCGAAAAATTTCGCTTGATATAATATTCTCACAATATAAATTATAGTGAAGATTTCCTCCCTTGACCGGTATCATCACTGAGTCAGCGAATTTTAACAGTTTTAAGTCTTCAATAATACCAATTAAACAGACTGCTAAATTTGAATTCTATTTCTTTAAAGACAAAAATATAAATCAACTTTGAGACGCAAAAACACTCTTATTATATTTACGTGACAAGCTACGGTACGGTACGTACATGACAGCGCTACCGCATAAAAAGGTCTGTTTGTTAAATCCTTGATCTATTTCTATTATCGAATTTAAAAAAGTATGGAAAGCAATCATTCAATTTTTTTAACTATTTGAACTTTAGTGAGTGCATGATAAAATCATCTTTTTAGATTTATCAAAAATCAAAACATTTTGGTCGTCTCAATAGGTTACAATAAAATCTCTTTTTGAAAATTTGATTATATTAGAAAATAAAAGAGCAGAATGTTTTCACTTTATAGAAATGTTCATTTTTACCCCCTCGTGTATAAAAAACTCTTGTAATGATTTCAACACAGCTTTGTGTTGAATTTATTTTCCTCATGATTCCATCTACTATTTTAATGGATATTCAACCAGGTTGTTTAACGTTGATAAATCTTGCAAAAGGAATTTATTTAATCCTTTTTAATTTTGTTATTCAATTAGTGATATTTGGGCAGATCATATTTTGCTAACGAACTCAATAATAACATCAATCATAAAATTTATCGCAAATGAATATCCAGATTCCATCTGGATATTTAAAGCAAACGGGGTAACCTTAACCTTTATCTACAGTCAATTTCATAAGTAACTGACCTCCATAACTATACAACAAAATCATGCATAACGATAATGTTACCGTTCCGAACACAAAGAACATTATGAACACTGATCATCTATTTCCTTTTATAGTCCTGGTAAAACTTTTATGGATAACTCGTCAATGGAAGTTGACCACTTTAGGATGCAATATCTCGACGCTCGGTGACCCGATTCGAGCGAAAATGCTACCATTTGATTTGTCTGACTAAATAAATCAAATGGTAGTATTTTTCTTGAATCATACCACTGGGTATCGGTATCAAGTATCGGATAATTAGACGTTCAATACCATAAATAGAAGCTTGTAAAAGACATAGATGTCAGTTTTTTGTTTGTTCTTTGTGATAGAAAATTTCTTTGCATTACATGAAGTTTTTTCCAAGATAGGAAGGGTCAGATACTTATGATTCGCACTATAATGGAAGAGAATTTTTATAAATCTATAAAAGACAACATCTGTAATATTCTTTGTGACCGAAAGATTTCACATGATTTTCGGAAAGTCATGTGGGCCAGTTACTTATGCGTATGTATAGCATGCAACATTACCGCACACATCGCTGTAATGCACGCTTTAAAACTATATCAGACCTCATATAAACTACACCCATACAAACCACTCTTCCCATAAAAAGTCCTTCCAGGTATTAATCAACCTATAATGCAGGGTGGTTACCACGAATTACAATAATCTTATGTGATCAAAAGACCGATCAGTTCATCTTAAAAAAAGACCAGGTCTTTTGAAACGGGACCGGATAACCGGAATAGTCCATCCATACTCAAGCAAAACATCATTGATTTATTATCATAAAAAAGGCATAGATTGAAATTTGAAAACAGAGAATAATGTATCTCTAAGAACCATATAAACTTGGAATTTATTTCGAAACCAAGAAATGAAGCCTTTAAATGGTATCCTAAATCTATTGAAATAATAGTGTCCAAGGGTCTAAAAAAAGCTACAAATATAGTTAATTATACGCAAAATCGTAAGTTGGCTACAAAGCAGTAACAAATATTATATTAGTTAGGACAATATAACGATAACGTTTGGTGACTGTCACAAAATGGCATTGGAAAAACCATTTAAATGGTTTATTAAACAGCAAAAAATGGAAAGAACGATAAAGAAAGAATTACCTGCGATGGAAAGGGAGAGAGAGCTCTTTTCAAAGATGAAACAAAATCTTTATTTGGGTTGTGCTATAATTTAGGTTTTATTACATGTACATGTATTGGGTTGGTCATTGAAACGCCCAAAGATGAAACTTAATTTATTTTTCAAAGATAAATTGGGAATTCTTTCCATATAACTATTAGTTCAACACTTCATTGTGCATGGCATGTACATTCGGTGGGCAAAAGTTTGGAATCGGAAGTGATAAATATAAATCATTTTCCCATTCCAAACCTTATCCAATGAGCGTACATGTACATGTATAAATATGGTGTCAAAATTCACATACACAGCATAAAACTAAGAGGTATAAATGATAGCGAAAGTTGTTGCTATTTTAAATTTCTCAAAACATTCATTATGATGATCATACATACACCTGCATATCGATATGTTGAAACACCATTAATCCTAATAATAAAGAAATTCTGTTGACGATCGTATGTTTAAGAACATCCATGTAGAATTCTTGTTAGTTTAAAAATAGCCTTGTTACATATGAATTAAATAAAGAAACGCACGTTGTTTTTGGAGGTTCAAAAAAAAGTGTATTAGTTTTTTTGTTTGTTGTCAGGTTGTATTGTTTTGCCCAGGTGGTTGACAAACAACAGATTAAAAAGAACGAGTGAAAGGACAAAAAAATCATTATAAACGACAAAAGAACTTGTTTCGATATAATTTTCATTGCTCGACAGCTGATTTCATATTTTTCTGTAAAAAAGAGAAAAGATACAATGGATTCATTAAATTATTCGTTAAAAGACACAAATTTGTCTGGGAAAGTCGTGATTATGACTGGTGTAAATGATGGTAAATTATTTATATTCTTAAATTTAATAATGATAAAATGTTTGCTTAAATTTGACGTTAAAAATAAACGCGATGTTTTTCTTGATTTGGTGTTTCAAAGGAATTGGAAAGAACCTTGCATGTTACATCTCATCATTTAAACCAAAACGACTTATCCTTCCGGCTTGTGATCGTTCCTCCAGTGGTCGCGTGCTCGATTACATACGCGCAAAAACGGGCGAGGAAAATGCCGAAATATGGGATATGGATTTGGAGAATTTTGATAGTGTGCGAAAGTTTGGTCGAAGAATCGTCGATGAAATTGGAGAAACACATGTGTTAATCAATAATGCTGGTAAATTTTTATTGGGTGATATAAAAATAGAATCATGGTTGAATTTACTTAAACTGGTTCTTTACAGAATTCTGGTCAAAAGAGTTGATCAAAACCAAAGATGGATTAGAGAAACAATTTCAGGTACGACGAAGACCTATGTTTTTAAGAAATTAAAATTTTTGATTGATTTCTTTTCAAATGATAGATCAATTATCTCGGACACTTTTTACTGACAAACATCCTGATTGAAACTCTTAAAAAATCGGGAACGCCTGAATTTCCTGCTCGAATTATACATATCTCTCCCTCATTAAATCGTCGCGCTGTTATCGATAGGGATAATTTTGATGGGTCAAAGTCAAATAAAATGTTTGAACTGTATAATAATTCTAAGTTTATGGTTTGTAAATATGTATTCACGCGTGCATTTTTTTTCAAAACTGGAAACTAAAATTTTACTTCCTGATAGAATATAGTGTTTAGTAACGAACTGAATCGTCGTCTAGCATTGACCAGTATGTGATCTCAAAAATATGTGCATTCCCGTTCTTTTTTACGATTCGACTGAACTGAAACTCTTTATTTTTTTTTTCTTCTAATAAAAAAGAAGTGGTCTCAGTCGTCATCTGTCCGGGCATCATAAAATCGCATTTAAGCCAATTAAATGGCATTCACCAATTCTGGAAAACAATCACCATAAAACTCAACGGCCAAAAAGCCTCAAGAAAATCCTCATTCAATGTTTTATACCCGATTTTCTCGCCAGATATCCAGAAAAACAGAGGAATATATTTCGAGAACGGACGTGTCACGAAAGTTAATCCGAAAGCTGATGATGTGGCGTTGGGAAAAGAGTTGTGGAAAGTATCAGATGAGATTGTGCAGTCTGTTTTGAGAAAATATGGGATTCCGGATGGTGAAATATAAAGATATTATTTGTGTTGTAACATGTATATTAATATAATTAATGCAATATTTGTACGATACGAGAAAAAAACTTTTAATAATATTTTAACATAAAAGTACCTAGTAATAGAATTACTAATCGATTAATCAGTTCCACGGAAAAAATATTAACGTTAAAAAAATGTGTGTTTGCTCTTCAATATAAAACGAAAACATCAATTCGATTAACAGGATCAGCAACTGTACCTTCCCAACGCATGTTTAAAGCATAATCGATCGCGTAATTCTATCACGAATTTAAAGCAAATTTTATATTTTTCAACACTATTCTTTCTTTTATTTTCATAGAATCATATATGCATCAATAAAAGTTAGAAATACAATTTTTTCTCTGAGTAATAAAATGCTTGTAACTGACTATTAAATTCTTTGATCAAGAAAAGGCAAACACATCATTTGAAACCGATCGAGCGATTTGAATAATTGTATTGAAGTGTTTAAGGTTTTTATTGATATAGTTAATAGAAATAGTTTATAAAACATAAATTTCCCTCTTCCCGAAATATCTTATCTAAACTCGAAATTCTAAATTTCACATTCCCACGCCCAAATCATTTTTTTCCCGTAATTCTTTTCTTGTATGATATCTGAACAGGAATTAGATTTAAATATTTGCAATTAGTCCAGCTACTCTTCCAATTCTTATCACAAGTAAAATCCTCAAATTCCTCCACGAACGCACCAACTGTGATAATACATGTATCACAGTTAAGCCAATTGTTGTTTCTAAAGGTATACTGTTTACCAACATCATCCATGACAAGAAGGAATATAAATATATGTTTCGTAATTCTATCAGTCCGAAAACGAGGTAAAGTATGCTAAGTCTTGTGAGAACTAATTACATCTCTGACAATATTAGTTCAATATATATAGCACAAAGCTTTGATAAAAATTGGCAAGGTGAAAATTTATTTAAACAGAGGATCCTCTATATATACGCAACGGATGCAAGTATTCTTTCCGCCTCTTGTAATTGCAACTTTTTTCTTCGATTTCACAGCTTAATTTCCTATTTGTTTTAACCCGCTCTTCACATCCAACTTTTGCATAAAATTTTCAAATGTCTTTCGATTGTATTCGAGTAATTATACAAATCAATAATTTCAGCTATTTGATGCATCATTTTTTATTTAAGGTTGAACTATCATATTAGAGAGTTGTAAAAGATTACCGATATTCGCATTCGTTTCTTCCAAATTTCACTAATACCCGGAACATCAGTTACGTCTCGATTTTCTCTTTGTAGTATCTTGCAACGATCCTTCGGGATATAGCTTTTTTATGAAAATAAAAATTTTCGCGTGGGTAGCGTACAATTCCGGTAATCTCAATTCACAAATTAAAAATGAGTACAATGGTTTCCTGCTTGTTAATATTATTATAGGTTACAATACTGCAAACATAAGAATTATCCAATTATTGATTGTTACAAGTAAAGAAATATGCAAATGAACAGATTTTCTAACTTCCTAATTTTGCAGAAATATAAAAACTATTTATTTTTTCCTCCTCTGTTTCCATCCCACACAAGCTCTTGCCGGTTATTCCAAATCTCTCTTACTTTTTCCTTTATAAAATGTTCGAATTCCTTTACAGGGATCCGCTCACCGGTGTTCTCCATGACTTCACATATATTATCTGGATAGATGAAAAAATTTATGAGGCCTTCCGTCAGATCTTTCCAAAGTACCTCAGGCCTTTCTCCATTTCGTTCCATTCATACATGCAGCCATTCTTGCCCAATATCCAAATAACGAATCCAGAAGGTTATATACGAATACTGGCTGAACCGGTGATGCCAAATGTTTTGGATACTCAAAAATTCTGCATCTACGAAGTCCAATGAATCTTTATAATTTGGTAAAACCGAAACGATTATTTTTGTTCAATTATTCTTGAAGGTAATCTGGTAAATCTTGCAATTTGAACAAAGCGATATCCTTTTTTTTCGTTTGTATATTGATTGTGCGCGTTCTGATCGGAATATTGGACCTCAGCTGGGCTAGTTGAGTCCACGGATTCGTTTCCGCGCAGTTTCCCAAACCCCATCTTTCTGGATTCTGAGTTATCATTCCATTTGGATTTCGCGGAAAAAGGTACAGATCGTTCTCCTCTCGAAGTTCGATCAGGGAAACTCTATCTATTTCGTTGGGAACTATGACTGATGCTCCATAAGGGGCTTTACGATTTTTCGATACTTGGTCCAAGACATGTTTGCTGTCGTTGGAATGTTTGCAGAATTGCGTGGTTCTAAAATTTTTTATCCATTCTGCTATCTGATTCAGGTGCTGACGTAAAATATCATTGATTTCTTGAACTTTCTTGGCTTCTTCTTGTTCTTCTTGCTCTTTATTGGATGAGAGTTCATCGTGTTTAGAAGGCACAATGCATCCCATACTGTCATAATCGCCAATCTAGTCCCATCTATCCTCATTCGCATTGCTATTGAGATCTTTTTGAAAGAATACTTGATTGTTCCCTGATGTAGAACATCAAAGGTAAATATCAATGCATGAAAACTAAACCTTTGAGAATAATTGTACAGTAGTATAAAATCGTTGTAAAGAACTTGGGCCATCCCGCCGCTGCTATCTCGATCTATTTCCAAATCTAAAGTGATTACTACCGTAAAACGCCGTGCTAACTACCCCTTCCTGTATCATACCCCCCATGATCCAGACCCGGTCTTATACATAGGCATCATAATGAGTCTTGGAAATTGTAATAGACCCGGATATAACTGTGTATTGTACCATCCCGTGATTCAGATCTGGTATTTTATATTCTACTCATGCTCGATTAAGGAAATTCGGTTTATATGCATTTCCGACTATATTTTTTGCCCACACTTTAGACTAGATGAACCCATAATTTAGTATTGGATTTTGACAAGATAAACTCGGATGTCTGTTTATCATGTCAAAAACTACGGTGGATGGTTACATGTTGTAGATTTTACGTGATCGATAGGTATACACGATCGACAAGCATACGAGTTGAAGGAACGAAAGTTTATATCCAAAATTAATATCTGTATAGAAAGTTTTAGAAATTTAAAGATTTTAATATTTGAATATATTATTATCAAGTATAAATTACTTGATTATATATATTCTGATTTAATTGATTGCTATTTATTATAATTAAAATTATCTAGAGCATAAGCAAAGAACTATATATTATTTTATAATATATAAAAAAATTAATTATCATATAAAATTTCTAATTATTATATTATATAACTATTTATAAATAAATAAATTAATTAAAAAAATTTATTATATTAAACTTATAATAGTTTATTATTTTCTAATAATACTAAATTATTATAATATTAATCTAAAAAAGATTAAATAAAATAAAATAATTTAATAATTATTATAATTTATAATAGCAAAGAATTATAAGTAATTTTAAATAAAAATTAATTATATTAATTTTTAATATAAATAATAAAATATAATTTAAATTTTATATTTTTTTATAAGTTCTTGATTATTATAATAAAAATTTAAATTTTAAAATCAAGTTTATATAAATAAAAAATATTAATAAAAATAATATTTTAATAAGTTTAATTAAAATTTTTTTAAAAATTAATATATTAAAATTTAAGAATCTTTATAATTATAATATAATTTAATAAAATAAAAATAAAAATTTTAAATTTATATAAAAATTTTTTGTTATTAGTATAAAAATACTTAAATTTTAATATAATATTTTTAATTATTTCAAAATATTTTAATAAATTACTTTTAATTATTATTATATATAAATATTAATATAAAGTTAATCTGTAATTTATATTTATAAATTATTATTTTAAAATTACAATTTGATTAAAATAATTTGAATTAAATAAATTATATAATCTATATATTTTTAATTAAAAATTTTATTTAGATCTAATTTTAAAATATTATTTATATAAAAAGAAAAAAATTATTAGAATTTATAAAAAGAATTATATATTCTAAAATAAATTAATATAAAAAAATTTAAAAAGTAACTTATAATTTATTATTCTTAAAAAAATTATTATTATAACTATTTAAATAATAATATAATTATTATTTATTTAATAATAAAGTAATATAATTAAATTTCTCTTTAATCATTTTTTTATATTTATTTTTTAAATTTTCTAGTTATTAATTAATTATAATTGAAAATTTTCTTTATTTTATATCTCTTTTAATTATTTAATTTTGTTTTTTAAATATAAAAATTATAATATAAATTATTATATATTTAAAAGCTTTTAATTATTTAATCTTGAATTATTATAAAATTATAAGCTTTTAAATATAAAATTATTAATAAAATTTCTAATCAAATAGATTTAATAAAATATAAATTATTAAAAGTAATTAGAAGAAGAAATTATATAAGTTTTAATAATTAATTTATAATTAAGCATATTATAATAAAAAGAAAATAATAATAAATTATTTAATAAATAAAAAAGACTTGAAAAAATAAAAAAAATTTATTAATAAAAGTTCTTATTTAAATATAATAAAGCTAAAAGTAGAATCAGAATAATATATATTTAATTCTTGAAAATTATAAATATAAAATATAAAATATAAAAAAATAAGAATATTTAATATTATTAATATATTTTATTATAAATATTTTTAAAAATTATATAAATAAAAAATATAAAAATATAAAAAATAAAAATAAAAAAATAAGAATATTTAATATTATTAATATATTTTATTCTAATTATTTTTAAAAATTATATAAAAATTACTTATTAATATAATAATATTCTTTTTATAATTATTTATAAAGATTATAAAAATTTATTTATTAATATTAAAATAAATTTATTTATATTTAAAAAAACTTAATTAATAATATTTTATATTTAAATTTATAAAGATAAATAATATATTTATATATAATTATTTTATATTATTTAAAAATATATATATAAGTACTCTCATAATTATAAAATTAGAAGATTGATTTTATAAGTAAAATATAATAAAATTAAAATTTTTTCTTTATAATAAACTTTATAATCTTTATAATAAACTTTATAATTTTATTAAGAAATAATTTTTATTTTATATTAAAATAAAGTTTATAAATTATAGTTTAATATATATTTTTTTTAAATTTTTTAGATTTGTTCTGAAAGAATTTTTCTAATTGTAAAGTCAATGCAAAAATTTTTATCAATTAAATTTCATTTTTAATTAGTAAAAATTTTTATATTAACTTTGCAATTAGAATAATTCTTTTAGAAAAATCTAAAAATCTGAAAAAAATACATATTAAAGAATATTATTTTGATATAGAAATAAGAATTATTTCTTATTAAAATTATAAAGTATAATATGAAGAAAAAATTTCAATTTTAACTAAGTTTTATTAATAAAATTAATCCTCTAATCTCATAATTATGGGAGTCACTATATATAATTATTATTAATAAATAAAACAAAATGAATATTTATATTATATAACAAGGTATATTTAAAAATGAAAAGTTCATTTTTATATAAAGAGAAGCTTTTTGTTTATCATATATAAAATAAAGGATATCGGGGAAGTATTATTTTTAAAATTAACTGAATATATCAAGAAGAATCTTATTTCTAAAAAGACTTGCCAAATTTAGTTATGATAAATATTTATTAGATAGATATAATAGAATACAAGTAGAAATAGTTGAAAAGATTATTATTTTATAAGAAATTATAAGAAATTCCAGCTCAAATTAAAAAAGAAAGAATTTATATAAATAACTCATGATAAATATTATTTTTATATGAAAAAAAGAGAATGAAGAATCTGCAAATTTTTTACAGCTCATACATAACTTTCGATTCTTGAGAAAAACGCAAAAAATTTTTTCTTTTCTATTTTTTTTGGATAATGATCATGATAAATCGTCAGGATCGGAAAAATCACATTTGTGCTGTGAAAGTTGGGAAACTCAAAAAGAATGACTATGAAAAATGAGAGAGGTGAATATCGTTATAGAGAGATCTGACTGACACTCTTATCAAGAGTATCATTAGGAGTAAAGATGCAGACATTTCTCAGGTCGAGAGTAGCTATTTCCACAGTAAACGTCACGATAAAACGTAAAAAGTGATAATAATCCTAGCCTCGTCATATACATGTACATATTTATTCAATGACAGTTCAGAAGTGAACATAAATTTGAGTCGTTTCAGAATAATTGTGGAACGAATAAAATCCAGCAGCACTTCTTGTATAACATCATTATCATTATCCGCTGTATTTAGATTAGAATTATGAAACACAGAATGAAACTAAAAGAAATAAGAGAGTTAGAGGACATAAAATCTATTCAGAAAGTACATGTAGTACGTGTGCATATATTTTTCCACTAATGGATAAAGATACAAAAAAGAATCGCATGTACATGTATATGAATTTACATAACGATAACGCTATGCCATGCTGCACCTGTACTATCGTCTTTTTTTTTGTTTATCGGTTAGCGCTTTTATCCAAAGTCAATTATTTGCTATGTATTTACTTTGTGTGATAATATAGAGAATATTATACATAAATTACAAATATACATTAACATTAAATAAATAAATAAAACATTGGATACAGAATGAGACGACTGATAAATTTTCCATAAACTTCTAAAGGATTGTTATTACACATTATTTTCATTATTTTCATTATTTTCATTATTTTCACCGGAATCGCTGCCGCAGCAACAACCAAAAATACATTGGAGAAGTTTCCAGCAAACTTTAAGGAAGCGAAAAATTGCTATTGCACATAACGAATAAAGTAATTTAACACCTATATCAGTTACTTTTTGTGCTTCAAAGGTGTCTGCCTCTTGATTTTGGCTAAGTTCATCGATAATCCAACATATCATAAGGAACTGGAGAAGAGAAAACAACGCGGATATATTTCCGATAGCATTCATACGTTTTTTCGTTAATTCACTCGTTCTGTACAAATAATACCAATATTCTTTACCTGAAATAAATTCATCATATAAGATTAACTGTTTGATGAGCTATTAATTTACAAAAAAATGTGACTCACCTATGAAGAGAAATATGTGGTCCGAAATACTCAGTTCAGTGTATTGCTTGACCTTGTATACTATCATAAATCGTGGCAATACTTCCGCAATTGCGAAAACGAGGAAAATTTTTTTAGTTATCACATGGTACTCGTCCGTACTCTTATATGCCTACAAGCGACATAGTGAGCAACACATAAGTGACAAGCAGCATATCGAAAAAATTTCAAAAATACGCACTTCATTATAAAAAAACTCAATCAAATAGAAACTCGTTCCGCAAGAATAACCGTTTATAAAATACATCAAACGCCAATACCATATTTTCCATTCGGGGACTTCTTCCATAATAAATTCACAGCTTGCGTGTAGTTATATTACGTATTATTTTTGGGAACCGACAGTGTTGTGTTGAAAATTAATTGCATGGTTACTGAACATTGCGTAATTTATAAGTGTATTTAATGTTGTCTTACGCAAGTTATGTGATAGGGAATCTGAACAAAAGAAAGCAAAGTTGGTAATAGCACAATGAA